CAGTAACGATGTAGTTTAGCATCATGTAGCTATGGGTGTTGCTGATTATTCAACCCTGAATTATAATTATGATATACAATGGAAAAGAAGATTGTTAGGATTTAATAAATAGGCTCTAATTAATAGGTTTAATAGCCTTCTCATAAAGCTCAACTTTCTTTATGTCTACCCATAATGTATTTCTTTCTGTTAGTAGCAATGAAGCAAAATGATGTTGCTTTAATATTAAATACTGTGTAAAGGATGAGAAATCTCTTGTTATTGTTTTAAAACTTTTTTTTTTTCTGTTTTATTGGATGGTGTTAGTGGAGATAATTGTGTAACCATTTCCTTTCTGTGTCTGGAAAAACTTGGGTAGTATGCTAAGTAAGCTTTGTAAAACTTTAGAAAGATGAAAATCATGTTTTCTACAGTTTTAAGGTCAACATTTTACACAATTGTGAGCTATACCTCAATATTGTGATTACTGGGCTTTTTTATCTTTGAAAATAAAAAGTTCCATTTGTGATTTTTACTATTTAGCTGAAAATTGTAGGTCACTTTTTATTTTTTATTCATTATTATAGGTTTCTCCTATTTTTCTTTTCTTTTTTAAATTAATTTATTTTCTTTTTTTTTGATGTAGTGTTCCATGATTCATTGCGTATAACACCCAGTGCTCCATTCAATACATGCCCTCTTTAATACCGATCACCAGGCTAACCCATCCCTCCACCCCCCTCCCCTCTAGAACCCTCAGTTTGTTTCTCAGAGAAATAGTATTTTATAAATTCAATTTGAATGTCAGAGTTCTGAAGCTGTATTTTTAAAGATAAAATTTAAGAAAATATTTGGTGGACTTTATTTTTACTATTTCATTGCAGTAATATTCCTAGAGAGCATATTAGAATGTTACATTGATTTTTTTTCATTTTCTTTTTGCCATATTGATTTTGAAACCTAAAGTCTTTTGCTTTCTCTTTAAGGGGTATTACAAACCATACTTAGAACTACACAAATACCAAAATGAACTTAGTAAAAATCTGTGTTGGTCTTATAGTGAGTTTATTAATAATTATGTTACTGTCTTTTGTCAGAAAGACCACAGTAATGAAAACCATATTTCACCTTTTTTATACATTGGATGTGATCACCAGATGCTAATGTTAAGAGCACGTCAACAGGAAAAGTTGAAAATGTGAGCTGCATGGAAAAATACTAGAACCAGTTAGCTCTCAAAAAACATGACCAAGTATAGGGGAAAAAAGATTTTGACTATGAACTGGCTTTAGGTCATTTAATAATAGAAAGAAGCAGCAAGATGGCTTTCTTTTAGATTATTTTAAGGTTTTTAATAATAGCAGAAAATACTGTGGAAATTGGCCCATCTTGGTCCGTGTTTGAAAACTCAGGGTATTTTTGTTTTTCTAACAATGTATTATAATTTTCAGACAGAAAAGTTGAAAAAATTGTACTATGAGCGTGTATCACTACCTAGATTCTACTCTTAACATTTTGCTGTATTTGCTTTATTACATAACTGCCCATGTATTCATTTTTCTTTCCATTTATTATTCCATCTTTTGTATATTTCAAAGTAAGTTGTACACAGTCAAGTACCTTCAGTCTGGAATGCTTCAGCATGCATAATATAACTAGAGTTCAATATTTATGGTTCTGTTTTGCAGTGAAGGGCAAAGATCTTGTGTACCATTTAATAAGTTTTGGGAAATGCATACACTTGTGTAACTTAGAACTTTCTTGAGATAAAATATTGTCTTTGCTCTAGAAAAATTTCTCATGCCCCATCTAAGTCAAGTCCTGCCCTTAATCCCACCCTCAAAGGCAGTCTCTCTTGGGATATTTTTTTTATTATAATTAATTTAATTTGTTCTAGAATGTCATATAGATGGAATCATTCCGAATATACTCTTTTTGTGTAAAAGCTTCTTTCACTTAGCTTTGAGATTCATCTGTGTTGTTACCAGTATTCATTTTCATTGGTGAATAGTATCAGTCCTATAGATATACCTCAGCTTATTTATCCATTCGCCTGTTGATGGATATTTGAATTCTGATCAGTTTGGAGCTATTAATTAATAAAGCCAATATGAAAAAGCTTGTACAAGTATTTTGTGAACACATACTTTCCTGGTTTGTAAATATCTAGGAATGGAATTACTGCGTCATAGGGTAGATATATGTTTAGTTTTTTTCTGAAACAGTTTTCCAAAGGGTTTGTACCATTTTACACTCCCACCAAAATGTATGAGCATTCTGGCCATCCACACCAACACCTGGTATTGTCAGCCTTTTTAATTTTAACTGTTCTGCTGGTGGATGTGTAGTGGTATTTCATTATGTTCATTTTTTTTTTTAGAGATTTTATTTATTTGAGAGAGAGCTCCAGAGAAAAAGAGAGCGAGAACATAAGTGGGGGAGGGGCAGAGGGAGAAGCAGGCTCCCTGCTGAGCAGGGACCCCCCCCCCCCAGTGCGGGGCTCCCCAATGTGGGGCTTAATCCCAGGATTCCGGGATCATGACCCGAGCCGAAGGCAGACACTTAACCGACTGAGCCACCCAGGCATCCCTCATTATGTTCATTTTTAATGCTTATTTTAATGTGTACTTATCTCCCATCCAAGTACTAACCTGGCCTGACCCTGCTTAGCTTCCGAGATCACACGAGACTGGGCATGTTCAGGGTGGTATGGCCATAGACTAATGTTTTCTTATCTAATGACTAATGATGTTGAGCACCTTTTTATGTGCTCATTAACCACATCTGTCTTCCTTTGTGAAATGTCTGTTCAAGCCCTTTGCCCATTTTAAAATTTGAATATTTGTCATTAAGTTGAAAAACATCTTTATATGTCCTGGATACCAGTCTTTTGTCAGATATGTTTTATGAATATTTTCTTCTAGTTTGTGGCTAGCCCATTCATTTTTTTAAATGATGTATTTAGTGTAGAACTATTTCATTTTGATGAATCCCACTTTATCAGTAGTTTTATTGCTTTCTGTGTGTTATCTAAGAAACCTTTGTCCACCTGGTGTCAGATTTCTAATATATATTTATTACTTATAAATTGGTGTATCCAGTAAATAAAATTACTTCGATCGTAAAACTTCTACCCAATAGAGCTTCTTATTTATGACCTTACCGTGGCTTAAAAGAAATATAAATATCTTAACAAAAAATATAAAGACAGTTGTTTTTTTAACACCCAGGATGTTTTCTACTTTTGTTGAGTATTATATTTAGAGAATGGGGAGGGATGGTGGAAATGTATTAATCTCAGGCAAGGGAGAAGAGGGTATAAATTTCTGTGGGAAAGACCACTAGTTCTAACACCCCTCTCTCTTCACTCCTCCCTCTTCTCTGTACTGGCTGTTGTCCACCTTCTCCTTTGACTCTTCTCTCTGACCCAAGGATTCATAGCTTCCAGGTCTCCTGATCCCAACATGTTAACAGGGTGGCCATCTAGAATTGTTAATAGAGCTGAAATTCTATCTAAATTTTAAGGCACATTAGAGATTCTGAATGGTTTATGAATTTGCACTATCTCTGAGAGAACTATCAGATTATTATTTTTTAAAAAGCTTTTTAAAAAATATTTTGTTTGTCAGAGAGAGAGATACAGAGAGAGAGAGCACAAGCAGGAGGAAGTTGCAGGCAGAGGGAGAAGCAGGCTCCCTGCTGAGCAAGGAGCCCAATGTGGGACTGGATCCCAGGACCCTGGGATCATGACCTGAGCCAAAGACAGACACTTAACCGACTGAGCCACCCAGGTGTCCCAAGAACTATCAGATTATACGTAAAGCAGTGATCTGTATTAATAGACCTACTTTCACAGATACTCAACCATTTTCTCTATTAGAACAAAAACAGTGATTATTGGTAAAATACTTGAGCCTAAAGTCTGACTGTTCTGCAGGCCTATGTCAACATTTGATTGAGGAGAAATATATCAGAATATTGAGAGGATCTCCAGTAGCATTATGGATGAGTAATTTTGGATATTAAAGGTTTTAGTTTTCATCTCATTTTAAAAAGAGCTTTTATAGATTTTTATTTCATTAGAGAAAAATACAGAGGAGCAAAAATGAAAACAAAAAACAAAACCAAGAATCTATCCCACCCCAGAACCGGAATGGATGTTGTAGGTGTGACTGAGTGTACTTTGGGTCTCATCATACAAAGAATCAATAAACATGAAGAGTTTTGTAAGATATGGGAAACCCCAGTACAGATATATAGTACAGAATTAGAGAATTCTGGTTTGCCACACATCTCCTACTTAAGGAAGTTAATCAGAAGTCCAATGTCTACAAGGTTTACCTGATCCTAATTAGGAGACCTCTGGGTTCTCTAAAACAGAATGATGATCTTCACAGGACTATGGAATGAAGAATAATAGTTCACTCAGTTATCAGCAGGAATATTGTCCTTGCTTTACTTATCAAAATTAATAGAGTATCCATTTGTGTGTGTGGGTGTGTATATTGGCATGGGTTGTGGGTTTAGGGGTTTGGTGGTGGTGACAGTGTCTATATAATTGTCTATATGTATATATATAGTCTATACATATAATTGTTTATAAATAATTAAATATGTTTATAGAAAACTTAGCAGTTTTTTCATTGGCTTTACTTGAGATCTACCAAGGTTTTCTCTCCAGCCATTTTTTTTTAAACCAGGAGTCAAATTTTGTTCATATTCCCTGCTCAATGCCCATATCAAGCTGTTCACAATCACATGATCAGTGGCATTTGATTAGTAGAGAAAGCTCTGAGGAGGCCAAAGAGATTTTTTTTAACTCCTTGTACAATGGAAAGTTACCTTTGGGATCCGAGAGGCCAACGTTTATTTCAGCCTAGTATTTCCAACATCCCAGTTATGTTTTGAACTCTGAGGTAGCAATATTGAGATGATTTGAAGGGTCCAGGGTGGTTTGCTGATGGAGATCAGTGACTTAATTTTTATACCCTTTTCTTTACTCTTATTTTTTATTGTTACAGAAGAAGCTACTATGGAGGAAACTGGGCCAGTTTTAGCTTTTCAGGAATACTGTCCTGGCTAAAGGAATACCAGGTAAACTTCTTAGTTGATTTTTAATCTACTAGGTTGTATTTTGTATCACATAATAACCGTACATTAAAGGAAACGCTAAGCTTCTGTAATATAGAATTGATTCCTCATTTTTATTTATTTAACAAAAATTATGCAGTCATTTTTTAAGTTAATGTTCTTCCGATGCTTTCAAAATATAGATACCGCTTTTTATTTTTTTATTTTTTTATTTTTATTTTTTTAAAGATTTTATTTATTTATTTGAGAGAGAGAGAATGAGAGATAGAGAGCACAAGAGGAAAGAGGGTCAGAGGGAGAGGCAGACTCCCCGCTGAGCAGGGAGCCCGATGCGGGACTCGACCCCGGGACTCCAGGATCATGACCTGAGCCGAAGGCAGTCGCTTAACCAACTGAGCCACCCAGGCACCCCGATACCGCTTTTTAAATATACATAGACATGTTGGTTGAAGAGTACATCATATATACTTGATACCATTTTCTCATTACATTCCCAAATATAAGGCAAGATTTTTTTCTCCAAAATAGTGTTTCAGAAAAAAAATTTCGGTCCATATAAAATCTCACATATTACTAGTTGCTCTTTCAGTAGTACATTTTGAGGAAAAAAAACCCCAGCTATTCGGCGGGGAAATACATTAATTTGAAATGGTCTGAGTCATTGGTGGTTTTGCATATTTATAGAAGTCATCTGACAGAATTAGTAAAAACAAAAAACAAGGAAAAATTTAATGTAAATTTAGTTAAGTTTTTTTCTAAGTTAGGATCTCACTACTACAACTATTGGATATCATTGTAAAGAAGTTTTTTAGAGGACATGTATGGCATAGTAATATGGAGAGTTATGTCATGGAGTTTACTCATTTTTATGACAGATGAAAAAAAACTGTCCTAATTTTATGTGAATGGTATATGTGGCTTGAAATGAACTTCCTACTGAGAGCATCATACATGGAATCAGAAACTGCTATATCTCAAAAGCATTTAGACAGTTGGAAAAGGAGTATGATATATTCTAGAAAATTGTATTCAGTTAGCTAAAAATAATATAACTAAGACTTATTAAGCACTTACCGTGTGCCAAACACCACAATAAGCATTGTAGTTGTACTGATTAATTTATGCACTTAAAAAAGTGCTTCTAGTGATGACAAAGACATTGATGTTGAAGATACAGTGAAGATTCAGTTTGAATAATACTGTTGCATGAAATAAGAGTGTGGAGAAACAAGTAATATTTGGAAAATAATATTGCATGTAATACAAACTGTATAAATCAAGAAAGTAAATGTTACTAGTAGACATTTAGCTATTTTATGTGTGTGCCTTAAATATTTGTATATTTGTGTTGATCATTATTCTTAGGAAGTATGTATAAGGGTTATCTTATTTAGCATATTTAGTACTTTCATGAGAAAATTTAGTCTAGATGCTCACAAAAAGAACAAAAATACCTCAGTTGTCTGAATGGAAAATTCTGGTGAGTGAGGATAATTTTATAAAATAAATTTTGCTACTAGGTTAGATTTATTAAAATAAAAATATTTTTGTAGATGTTTCTTTTATTTTAGTGCTGCTTCTACTCCAGCATCCTTTTTCTACCATATCCTTTTCCCCTTCACTCTTTGTGTGCTGATCCACAGTCTTTTCTTCAGGTTGGTAACCCCATGTCTACACATTCAGAGTTCCTGTATTTCACCTCCTTTTCTACCTATGTTGGGATGTTTAACACTATCTAATAATTACACTTAATAATAACAATGCCCTACTTTTCTTCAGTTTAAAATGTTAAATTCAGGAGAAAAAGGCCTTTTTATTTGTTTGTTTATTTTTAAAGATTCTACCCATTTTTGACAGAGAGGTACAAGCAGGGGAAGCAGCAGGCAGAGGGAGCGGGAGAAGCAGGCTTCCCGCTGAGCAGGGAGCCTGATGTGGGACTCGTTCCCAGAACCCTGGGATCATGACCTGAGCCGAAGGCAGACGCTTAACCATCTGAGCCATCCAGGTGCCCCAAAAAGGCCTTTTTAAAGATTTATTTAAAAGAGAGAGAGTGCATGAGCTGAGGGAGGGGCAGAGGGAGAGAGAGGGGGGAAGCAGACTCCCTGCTGGGCACAGAGCCTGACCTGGAGCTTCATCCCAGGACCCTGAAATAATGACCTGAGCCAAAACCAAGAGTTCGATGCTTAACTGACTGGGCCACCCAGGGGCCCTGAGAAAAAAAGCCTTTTAAAATAATTATCATCCTACTTTATGAAATCTGTAAGTTTAGAAATTTCATGAGGTGAATTTACTTAAAACGAAGAATATTGTAGTTATATTTCACTACTAGTTCTTTGAGAATATATATTCAAAAATTTTTTTCTCTGAGAAATATGTACCAAATAGTTTAAAATTTTAAACAAATTAAAAATTGATCCTTGACATTTGGAAAAAGCATATCTTGACATTTCCAAAAATCCCCTGTATTCAGATATTGCTATGCATATAACTTAACTCCATAAAATGTAATTAGGAATTGTTAAAAATTTTGAAGGGCCACTTTCAACCCTTATAAGTTTACATACGTTATCATACATTATTGTTTTTATTGTCTTTCTGAATATATTCAGAGGTCAGAGGTTGATTATTATACAGTCCTTAGTTATAGTGGGCTGAATACTTTTCAAAAATACTTTTACATAAAATCAGAATTTGACATGGCTAGTGACTAACCTTCAAGGACCTAAAAGTAAGTAGAATGAAGTAATTGTGGGCCTGCTTTTGGACAACAAAATGCAAAAACTTTATTAATAACAAGTAATATGTATACCAGACACACTTGATTTTCAGCAGATAGAAGGTTAGTTATCCTAGTTCTTAAGTAATGTCAAAACAGGCACATCCAATGACTGCATCAGAATGTCAGATATCCTGATAGAAAACTGTCAACCAGAGCTAACATTTGATAGGAAAGGTTTTTACACAATTTTCTTCTCTTTGAAGATGGCACACTATGCTAGAGTCACTTCAGAATTTTGATGGGATCAGAGGCAAAGTATTAATTGAGAAAGGTATAAATTTTCACAAAAAAGTAGAGGTTCAGATTGTGCAATTAACATTTCTCATGTTTATTTTGTTTAGGAAAATAGTGACGTTGTGAATGAAAGCCCAGCATGGCAAGAGCAGATTCTTGAAAATGAAGAAGCCATTGTTCTTAGCAGGAAGGACAAAACCATTCAACATGTGGAAGTGTTTTGTTATGCCAGGTATGAAAAGTATTTATTTAGGATAAACTGAGTTAATGACTTCTTATTCACATCTTTTCAAAAGAAGCCAACATATAATGTTGGTTGCTAAACGTCAATTGATAAGATGGTTTGCCTTTTTTAAAATATAACTTTCAGTTTTTTCTGCTTAGATGATAATGATGATAATAACATGCCACATTAATGACTTGATTCTTACAACCATCCTGTGCTAGGATAGAGGAGGTAGTACTAGTTGCAGTTTTTATAGAATCCTCAGTATATAGAGAGATTAATTTGTTGAAGGGAAAAATGGCTTGAAAAATGTCCAAACCACATGTAGCCTAGATAGTTGTGGAGCCCAAGATCAAAACCCAGCATTATTTAATTCTGCTCCAGTGTTCTTCTAACTCTTCTTAGATAATATTCAGTGTAGCAAAATGGAAAATTATAATTTTGAAATAAAAACAATTGGCCATAATATTTGGGGACATATTTTCGAAATCAGGAGAGAATATTGGGAAGTAGTATTTTAAGTGTCTCCTTCTAAGTGAGAAAATTCATTTAAGTTTTTGTTTTCCAGTTAACATACACTATTATATTAGTTTCAGGTATACATTATAGTGATTCAACAATTCCATACATAGGTCACCAGGTGCTCATCACAAGTGCACTCCTTAATCCCTATGACCTATTTTACCCATTCCCCCACCCACGTCTCCTGTGGTAACAGTTTGTTTCTTGGTTTGCTTCTCTATTTTTTCCCTTTGCTCATTTGTTTCTTAAATTCCACATGAATGAAATCATATGGTATTTGTCTTTTTCTCACTGACTTAATTTGGTAAGCATTTTACTCTTTAGCTCCATCCATGTCATTGAAAATGGCAAGATTTCATTCTTTTTTATGACTGAATAATATTCTTTGTGTATATATACCACATCTTCTTTAGCCATTCATCAATTGGTGGACACATGGGCTGCTTCCATATATTGACTGTTGTAAATAATGCTACTATAAGCATAGGGGTGCATGGTCTTTTTTTTTTTTTTTAAAGATTTATTTATTTGAGAGAGCGAGAATGAGCGAGAGAGTACATGAGAGGGGGGAGGGTTAGAGGGAGAAGCAGGCTCCTCACTAAGCAGGGAGCCTGATGCGGGACTTGATCCCAGGACTCCAGGATCATGACCTGAGCCGAAGGCAGTCGCTTAACCAACTGAGCCACCCAGGCGCCCCAGGGGTGCATGGTCTTTTAATTACTGTTTTTGTATTCTTTGGGTAAACGACCTGTAGTGGGATTGCTGGATCCTAGGGGAGTTCTATTTTTAACTTTTAGAGGAACTGTCATACTGTTTTCCACAGTGGCTACACCAGTTTGCATTCTCATCAACACTGCAACAGGGTTCCTTTTTCTCCACATCCTCACTAACACCTGTTGTTTCTTGTGTTGTTGATTTTAGCCATTCTGACAAATGTGAGGTGATAATCTCATTGTAGTTTTGATTTGCATTTCCCTGATAAGTGATAATGAGCATCTTCTCATGTGTCTGTTGGCCGTGTGGATATCTTCTTTGGAGAAATGTCTATTCATGTCTTCTACACATTTTTTAATTGGATTATTTTTTGGGGGGGTGTTGAGTTTTATAACTTCTTTATATACTTGGGTTACTAACCCTTTATCATATATATCATTTGCAAATATCTTCTCCCATTCTGTAGGTTGCCTTTTTAAGTTTTGTTGATTGCTTCCTTCACTGTGCAGAAGCTTTTTATTTTGATGTAGCCTCAATAGTTTATTTTTCCTTTTGTTGCCTTGCCTCAGGGGACCTATCTAGAAAAAAGTTGCTATGGCAGATGTCAGAGAAGTTAATGCCTGTGGTCTCTTCTAGGATTTTTACAGTTTAAGTCTCACATTTAGGTCTTTAGTCCATTTTGAGTTTATTTTTATGTATGGTATAATAAAGTGGTCCAGTTTCATTCTTTTGCATATTGCTGTCCAGTTTTCCCAACACCATTTGTTGAAGAGACTTTTCTCCATTGGCTGTTCTTTCCTGCTTTGTCGAGGATTAATTGACCCTATAGTTGTAGGTCCATTTCTCAGTTTTCTGTTCTGTCCTATTGAATTATATGTCTATTTTTGTGCCAGTATTATACTGTTTGATCACTACAACTTTGTAATATAACTTGAGGTCTGGAATTGTGATGCCTCCAGTCTTGCTTTTCTTTTTCAAGATTGTTTTTTGCTATTTGGGGTCTTTTGTGGTTCCATACAAATTTTAGGATTGTTCGTTCTTGTTCTGTGAAAAATGCTGTTATGATTTTGATAAGGATTGCATGAACTGTGTAGATTGCTTTGGGTAATATAGACATTTTAAAAACATTTGTTCTTCCAGTCCATGAGCGTGGGATGTTTTTCCATTTCTTTGTGTCATCTTCATTTTCTTTCATCAGTGTTGTATAGTTTTCAGAGTTCAGATCTTTTGCCTCTTTGGTTAGGTTTATTCCTAGTTATCTTATTGTTTTTGGAGCATTTGTAAATGGGATTGATTCCTTGATAGCTCTTTCTGCCGTGTCATTGTTGTACAGAAATGCAACAGATTTCTGTACGTTGATTTTTGTATACTGCGACTTTACTGAATTTGTATATCAGTTCTAGCAATTTTTTAGTGCAGTCTTTCATGTTTTCTGTATAGAGAATCATGCCGTCCGCAAATAGTGAAAGTTTGACTTCCTCTATGTGCTGATTTGGATGCCTTTTATTTTTTTGTGTTGTCTGATTGCTGATGCTAGGACTTCTAGTACTATGTTGAACAACAGTGGTGAGAGTGGACATCCCTGTCTTGTTCCTGACTATAGAGGAAAAGCTTTCACTTTTTCTCCATTGAGGATGATATTAGGTGTGGGTTTTTCCTATATGGCCTTTATTTTGTTGAGGTATGTTCCCTCTATCTCTACTTTGTTGAGAGTTTTTATCATGAATGGATGTTGTACTTTGTCAAGTGCTTTTTCTTCATCTATTGAAATAATCATAATGGTTTTTATTCTTTCTGATATTGATATGATGTATCACATTGATTTGCAGATATTGAACCATATGGTTTTTATTTTCTTTTATTGATGTAAGAGAGTATCACCGTGTAATAGATCCTTAACATTCTTGTTGGCTATATCAAAAAATCTTTTTGATTTCCCTTTTGTAAATAATGAAAAATATGGTACAGGTTCTTGGCTTGTTGTTGTTGCTTTTTTATATAAGCATCAATGATATTAATGTTACATTTTGTGGAGGTAGGGCATGAGTATGTGTTTAGTTTTGTATAATTTTAACATATATGTCAGGTCATATATCCATCACCACAGTCAACTTACAGAAGTGAGCAGTTACATCACCCCAAGGATATTTCCTGTTTCCATTTTATAACCATAGCTCATCTCCTTCCTACCATTTCCCCCAATTTCTAACTCTTTGTAACCGCTAATTTCTCTTCCAGCTTCATTATTTTGTCATTTTGAGAATGTTATGTAAATAGAACTGTATAGTATGTGACCTTTGGCCATTGGCTCATTTCACTCATTGTAGTTAACCTGCAGATTCATCCAGGTGGTTGCATGTATTAGTAGTTTGTTCCTTGTTATTGCTGAATAGTATTCCATGCTATGGAGATACCAAAGTTCACTTATTCACCTGTTGAAGAACATCTGGGCTTTTTTCACTTTTGTCTGTTACAAATAAAGCTGCTATGAATATTTGTTTATAGAATTCTCTGTGAACATAAGTTTTCATTTGTCTGGGATAAATGCCCGAGTGTATAATTGATGGGTCATATGGTAATTACATGTTTAGTTTTAAACTGAAAAACTGTTTTCCAGGGGGGCTGTACCATTTTACATTTCCATCAGAATTTCATGATTCAGTTTCCCCGCATGCTCCCCAACATTTGATGTTTGCACTTTTTTTAGCCATTCTGATAGTTGTGTAGTGATATCTCATTGGAGTTATAATTTGCATTTCTCTTATGGCTGATTTTGAACATCTTCTCATGTGTTTGCCATTCTTACATCCTTTTTGTTGAAAATCTCTTCATATCTTTTGCTCGTTTTTTAATTGGATTGGCTTTTTCCTGTGGATTTTTGAGAGTTCTTTATATGTTTTATATCTGTGTCCTTTGTTAGGTATGTAGTTTGCAAATATTTCCCCCAAGTCTGTGGCTTGTCTGGCATCCTCTTTAAGCAGGATATTTTGCAGGTGAAATGTTTTAAATTTTGATGAAGTCCAATTTACCACTTTTTTCTTGGGTATAGATCCAGAATATTTTCTCCTGTTTTTCAAAAAAAAATTATAGTATGTTTTATGTTTAATCCCATGATCTACTCTAATTTTTGTATAAGGTGTGAGGTTTAGGTCAGTGTTAATTTTTTTAACATAAGGTTATCCGATTGCTTTGGCACAGTTTGTTATAAAGACTGTTTTTCCTCCACTGAATTAATTTTCATATTTGTCAAAAATCAGTTGGCTGTACTTCGATGGGTCTATTTGTGGATTTTATATTCTGTTCCATTGATGTGTATGTCTTTTCCCATACCGATTCCACACTGTCTTGATGACTGCAGCTATATATTAGGACTTAAAATCAGGTAGAATAATTCCTCCAAATTGATTCTTTTTTGTCAAAATTGTTTTATTTATTCCAGAGTTTGTGCCTGTTCATATAAATATTTTAATAAGCTTTTCTATGTCTAGAAAATGTTGCTGGAATTTAGGAATTGAATTAATGCTATAAATCAACTTGGGGGGAATTGATACCTTTATTATTTTGAGTCTTCCAGTTCACTCACAATGTATGACTCTCCATTTATGTAGGTTGACTTCGATTTCTTTCTACAGAATTGTGAATTTTCAGCATCCCAATCCTGTGCATGTTTTGTTAATTGTATACCTAAGTTGTTACTTCTCTTTGGGGCAATTATAAGTGGCATTGTCTTTTTAATGTTGGCTTTCATATGTTCATTATGGGTATCTAGA